CAGTGACACTGGGTCATTGGTGTTTATCGATGATGTGATAGAAGACAGAAGCAGCCGGATGAATTCTGCAGGGTTTAGAGATATACTGTCAGCCCAGATCCAGCCAAATGCAGCAAAGTTGATTGGACAGCGCTTCACAGTACAGATGGACAATGATCCAAAACACACTGCAAAAGCAACCCAGGAGCTTTTGAAGGAAAAGAAGTGGAATATTCTGCGATGGCTGAGTCAATCACCTGGCTTCAACCCAATTGAGCATGCATTTCACTTGCTGAAGGCAAAACTAAAGGCAGAAAGACCCCCAAAGAACAACTGAAGACAGCTGCTGCTAGAGCCTGGCAAAACATCAGAAAGGAGGAAACAGTCTTTGGTAATGTCCATGGGTTCCAGACTTCAGGCAGTCATTGCCAGTAAAGGATTCTCAACAAAATATTAAAAATGAACATTTTATTTATGATTATATTCATTTGTGCAATTATGTTTGTTCCTTGAAAAAAGGGGGGGATGGCTACTCTTAAGAGCTGTAATTCCTAAATCCTTCCTCCAAATTAAACCCGAGAGTGTGCACTTTCAATCCATATCCATTATAGAACTACAGCTTGGATAAGTTTTGGTAAATACCTGAAGAAAAAAAAAACAAAAAAAAAAAAAAACAACTGAAATTGTGCCTGTGTCCAAATATATATGGACTTAACTGTAGGTTGTATTATACAGGGTATATTATGGTATATAGATCGTATTGTACAGGATATATGATGTATTGTACTGTAGATTATGGGATGTGGGCCTTTCATCTCCCCGATATCCTGCAGACAGTGCAGCAGTCCTGACTGTAATATTTGGGATATTCTGGGATGTATTGAATATATAATGTAAATTATGGGTTATATTATAGAATCTCACATCTCAGACATCCTGCATACACTCCAGCACAGCCAAGTTCTATTATGAGATGCCTTGCCTTTCTTATGTCCTGAAGACACTGTAGCACAGCCTGGTTGTATTATGGGATATATTTTATATAATGTAAACATTATAAACTGTATTTCTTTTTCCTTTTTATTATTTTTATATAACAGACAGTTTATAACTTGACAACAGGTTATATATTATAGGATTTCTCACCTCTCAGACATCCTGCAAACATTCCAGCACAGCCAGGTTGTATTATATGGGATGTATTATGGTATATACTGTAGATGCAGTATACAGTGCAGGATGTGTATTGCATATAATTATTATTATTATACAGTATTTATAAAGCGCCAATAGTTCACTCAGCGCTGTACATTACAAAGGGGGACAGAACATGTGACAGAACAATACCAATACAATGCAAAACATGAGGGGATCAAGGGCCCCGCTCTTTCGAGCTTACAATCTAGAAGGGATGGGATAGTGGTACAGGAGGAGATAGCTGTGGGGGATGGAGTGGTAGGAAGAGTGGAGGAGGTCAGCAAGTTAGCAGGGGGTGAGGTAGGCTTCCCTGAAGAGATGGGTTTTCAGGGTGCGCCTAAAGGAGAGGAGAGTAGGTGATAATCTGATGGGTTGGGGCAGGGAGTTCCAGAGGATGGGTGACACCCTGGAGAAGTCCTGGAGGCGGGCATGGGAGGAGGAGACCAGGGAACTAGAGAGAAGGAGGTCTTGTGAGGAGCGGAGGAGTGTGCGTGCTGGGCGGTACTTCGATATTAGGTCAGTGATGTAGTTCAGGGCAGTATGGTGGACAGCTTTGTACGTCAGTATTAGGATTTTAAATTTGATCCGTTGCGCAATCGGAAGCCAGTGGAGGGATTGGCAGAGGGGGGTGGCGGAAATGGAGCGGTTGGAAAGGTGAATGAGTCTGGCAGCCGTATTCAGGATCGACTGAAGCGGGGATAGCCAGCGGTGAGGCAGGCCAGTGAGGAGGGAGTTGCAGTAGTCGAGTCGTGATATGATGAGGGAGTGGATGAGCTGTTTAGTGGTTTCTGGGGTTAGGAACGTGCGGATTTTGGCGATGTTGCGGAGGTGGAGTCTGCACGAGTTTGTTAAAGATTGGACTTGGGGCTGGAAGGATAGGTTGGAGTCCAGAATGACACCAAGTACTCTGGCCTGCAGAGCGGGTTTGATATTGGCCTTGTTGGATGTGATGTAGAAGTTAATGGGGGGGTGGGGTTCGGGCTGGGGGGAAGACAAGGAGCTCGGTTTTGGAGAGATTCAGTTTAAGGAAGTGGAGCGACATCCAATCTGATATGTCGCTCAGTAGGTGTGTGATTTGGGCAGAGACCGAGGGGGTGAGGTGGGGGGTTGAGAGATAGATTTGTGTGTCGTCGGCATAGAGGTGGTAGTTGAAGCCGTGAGAGTGTATGAGTTGGCCAAGGGAGGAGGTGTAGATGGAGAAGAGAAGGGGCCCAAGGACAGAGCCTTGAGGGACCCCAACAGAGAGGGGGGAGTGAGGGGGAGGTGGTAGCATTATAGGTAACACTGAAAGAGCGTTGTGACAGGTAGGATGAGAGCCAGGAGAGAGCAGAATCTCTGAGGCCGAGGGAGTGTAGTATTTTGAGGAGGAGGGGGTGGTGGTCAACTGTGTCGAAGGCCGCAGAGAGGTCAAGGAGTAGGAGCACTGAATAGTGGCCATTAGCTTTGGCGGTTAGAAGGTCGTTGGAGAGTTTGAGTAAGGCGGTTTCGGTGGAGTGTAGGGGGCGGAAGCCAGACTGTAGGGGATCGAGGAGGTTGTTGTCGTTGAGGTGAGAGCATAGGCGGGTGTAGACGAGACGCTGGAGGAGTTTAGATGTAAGTGGGAGCAGGGAGATGGGTCTGAGGTTGTTCGGGTCATTGGGGTCCAGGGAGGGCTTTTTAAGTATGGGGGGTGATGTGTGCATGCTTCAGTGGGGAGGGGAAAGTGCCGGAGGAGAGGGAGAGATTAAAGATGTGGGTGAGGGAGCGTAGGATGGAGGGGGAGGGAGGTCGTAGGAATTGTGAGGGGATAGGGTCGAGGGGGCAGGTGGTGAGGCGGGCATACGAGAGGATCTTGGAGACTTCCTCGATGGTAGTAAGGTCAAAGGTGTGGAGTGTTGGGGGAGCTTCAGTATGAGGAATGTAGGGTGGGGTGGGAGTGGAGGTCAGAGCAGTGGTGGGGCCGTGGGAGAGGGGTGATGAGGGGGTAGCTGAGTGAGGGGGAACGGGGTTGGAGGGAGTTTGAGCAGTGACAAAGTCCCTGCGGGTAATGTCGAGGGGGAGGGGGGATGAGGGGGTAGCTGTGTGAGAGGGGACGGGTTGAGAGGGCGTGTGAGTTGCGGCAATGTCCTTGCGAATTGTGTCAATCTTGTTTTTGAAGTGATTGGCAATCTCAAGGGCGGTGAGTGAGGTGCTGGGTGGAGGTGGGGGTGGAGAGAGTAGAGAGTTGAAGGTGGAGAAGAGTCGGCGAGGATTGGAGGAGAGGGCCTTGATGAGGGTCAGGAAGTAGGCTTGTTTGGCTGCGTGGAGGGAGGAGGTGTAGGTGCGGAAGGCAGATTTGTAGCAGGTGAAAGCTTGTTGGGATTTTGTTTTGCGCCATATTCGCTCCAGGGCACGACTGCGTCGTTTGAGGGTTTTGGTGTGATCAGTCTGCCAGGGCTGGAGCGGTCAGAGTCTGATGTTGCGTGTGGTTAAAGGCGCTAGTGAGTCAAGGGCTGCTGACAGCGCGTTGTTGTAGGCAGTCATAGCCAAGTCGGGGCAGGACAGGGGGAGGATGCGGTCGTGGAGTTGATCAGCTGCAGAGTGGAGGGAGGCAGGGTTAAGGTTGCGGAGGTTTCGGCTGGTAGTAGTGTGACATTTGGAGGGTAGGTGTTGAAGGACGAGGAGATAGAGAAGGTGATCAGGTTGTGGTCAGAGAGAGGGAAGGGGGTGTTAGTGAGGTTGTGGGGAGCGCAGCGGTTGGAGAAGACAAGATCAAGGATATTACCGTCGGAGTGGGTGGTGGATTGTATGCACTGTGCAAGTGCAAAGGAGGAGGTTAAGTGGAGGAGACGGGCTGTGTCCGGGTTGTCAAGGTTGACAGGGATGTTGAAATCCCCAAGAATGATGGTGGGTAGCTCAGAGGAGAGGAAGAAGGGTAGCCAGGAGGAGAAGTCTTCCAGGAAGCGGGGTATGGATCCAGGAGGCCGGTATATCACAGCAATCTTCAGGGGGGTTGGGGAGAATAGTCGGACGCAGTGGGCCTCGAAGGAGGAGAAGGATAGGGAGGATAATGGGATGTCTCACCTCTTGGACATACGGCAGGTGCTCCAGCACAGCCAGGTTGTTGGTCCAGGCTCTCTTCAGGCACAAGAGGCTGATGTCCTGCTCCTCAATCAGACAGAGACCGGGTAGTCTGCAGGCTAGAGAGGCGTGGACAGCAGCAGTGTCGTTCCGGGGATCCTTGGCTCGAGCCCCCCAGAACAGCAGTCAGGCCCACCATCAGGCAGCACAGGAGCCATAAACATCCTCAGGCCACCATCCTAGAGATAACCAGGAGCATTTGTGTCATCACGGCAGCCAGCCACTGCCCTCATCCACAAGGCAGCCATGGCATCCCATCAGTGTTCACCTCACGGAGACTCCATACAATGTCACAGAGGGAGCGTGTCTTTGAAGAATAAAATTTGTATTGTTTTGTATGAGGCAGGCGAGGGTCAGAGCCTCTGTCAGGGTTATTTTATTTCTGTGTGCCACTGGGCAGATTGTACCACACTTCCTGTCCAAGAGATGAAACTGGAAGCGAGAGGAAATCTCCTCATAGACAGGTGTCCCAGATCCCTTTTATGCTGAGATAAACACAGCCGCCTACAGAACCCACATGAGGTGTTTGGCCCGTCCTCTCCTGGTGGTTGTCCTGAAACAGTTTCCATCTACTAAACATAAATAAAATAATAAAAAAAAAATCCCATACTGTGGGTTCTCCGTGGGAACCCAAAAACACTAAACAATTTTCACTTTGGCCACAATAGTGAATGCAGCTTTTTGTGGACAGCGGGCACCATGGTGAATCTGTCAGTCTGTCCTCATTATTCCCATCGATAGATTTTCACCTTCTTTTCTGTCAGGGTGGCCAGCAAGCTGGTCTGGTTCACCTTCATGGGGCAAATGTCCAACACCGGCTCGTCGGCTTGTAGTTTCTGGATGAGGCTGCCACTCCTGGAATGCCAAAGCTGGAATGGAGAAGAGACAAATTCTGGGGTTTGTAGGTGTTCAGAAGTTTTATGAATCTAAGGCTTGTACAATTCTAATAGCTGCTTCATATCACATGGAGAACCCCCAGTAGAGATCAACTTCCCAGAGTCCTTTCCCCACTTGTAAAATTAACTACCTTATCAAATTCTGGCTCACAGGTCATTGGTCATTCTGAGCCCACAGGGCACACAGCCTACCTAATCCAACTCTACAACATAGACCCCTGGTGCCCACCCTACGGCCCTCACACCACAACAGTCAGATGTCGTGTATTCCCTGCCTAAGGTCCTACTCAAACTTGGGCATCACAGCACCTGAAGTGTCTAAAAAGAAGAAGAGCTTAAATCCAAAAGTGAAAGAAGCTGTACTACTGTGTATTCCTTGCGGTCATCAAACTTTATTCCATAGAGAAACAAATGCCATGCACCAAACCCTGCTTCTCCAACACAGAGGGGCTTAATTCTGAACCTCCAAGAATAAGCTTCTCCCTGGGTGAGCACAGGAAGAGCAGGGTCTACTGGATGTTGTTGCTTGTAATGCATGGTTCCCTATATGATAAAGTATATTGAAAAAGTAAGAAATTAGCAGTGGTACAGATTCTTTCAGTTTATGAAGTTGGGATGAGGATGTGCCCCCTGTGGTCTTGGCACCCACAAGTGGAGGTGGTGGTTTGATTTTACTCTAAGTGGTACCTCTTCCTACTGCATACAGGAAGAGATGAAGTGTTCCTAACTATAGTTCTGCACAGGGACGGACTGACAACTCATGGGGCCCCCGGGCAATAGGGGATCATGGGGCCCCTGTGTCCTTGCCCACACTCAAAAAAGCCTATAAAAAAAAAGAAAGAAGGTACCAGGGGCATGTCATGGGGCCCCCTACTGACCCCGGGCCCTCGGGCAGTGCCCAAGTGCTCAAATGGTCAGTCCGCCCCTGGTTCTGCATCTTGTGACTTCAGGAAAGCCTTGAACACCACAGCCTTTTCTCCACTAATAAAGATGTTACTATTGCACAGTATGTAAACTACAAGAACAGATATTCCCATGGGGAGGGGAAGAGGATGTGTGTGTACACTCTGCTTATACCTGCAACACATGAGCAGCCTCCACCTACAACACACCTGTCACACAATATGTGAGTCTTCCCTAGCGTTACATATACTAAATGCAGATCTGCACAGTGGCACTTTGTAGATATCATGGGCCATCTATGAGGACTCTTGTATGTAGTAAGTTGCATGTAACTAGGACGATGACTGTACAGCATTTCTTACCATGGCCGAGTTGGAGGATTCGTCTCCAGCACACACTAGTATACCGTCATTTTTGTCTGGATCGGGAATATAAATCGGGAATATGGCATTCTTGGTTAGATGTTTACAGGTGTTCCCCATGTTGAAGGTCTGTACTGGGGAACAAGAACATTTGTACCTATCTGCAGAGTCTGCCAGGCGGTTGCTGGTGAATTTCATCATCACAGAGCGCATGTAGTTATGGGTCTGATCTGTCAACAGAACATGTACAGGTCACAGAGGATATAAAAAAAAACAAAAAAAAAAAAAAAACAACAAACTGTTTTCTCCCAATCATACACCCAACAATTTACTCTTTCCTAAAACGGGCCATACACACTCTACAACCGGATTGTACAGCCTTCTTTAGATCTACCAACAAGAAGTACAAAGTCTTGTCTGATTGTCTTGACATGTAGTGCATGGTTTTGGTAGGTCCACATTTTATATACATTTGGTAAATTTTATGTTATTGAAAGTGAAAGTAAAAGAAAATCCCAAATTTTGGGTTGACACCTGAACAGTAATTTTTGGGAAATCTTCCAATGGGGGACACTATTTTGGCCATCCTGGTTACACCACGAAATTTCCTCACTTTCAAGGGATTTTCTTTCACTTCCTGTTTTGGAGATAGGACAGGAAGTGAAGGGATATCTCCCCAATGGGACCCAGTTGGCAAAACAAAATCCTGAGAAGGGTTATAACCCTCCCTTACTCTATCCAAAATGAAAAAAAAAAAAAAAAAAAAAAAAAAGATTTCCCTTTAGTTACACTTCAAAGTGTTACTAAACCCACAACAGTACAATCAGTCTGTATATGCAGTAAGGCATGCTTGTTATACTCACTGTGGTACCTAAGGGATTAATCCTCTGCATTGTGTAAAAAGAATGTTTGACTTCTCTGATTCTCCCCTTCTTCCATCTATCTCTTGATACAACTGAGGCTCTGGGGCAAGCAGCACATGCTCAGTTTGCTGTGTATTGCTAGAGTTTTTTTTTTTCCTTGGAGAGTGCATTTGATCAGCACAGGGCCAATCAGCACTTTCCAGAGGTCTGGGGTTCTGCATCCTCCTACAGGAAAATGAAAACGCCTCCTACAAGCTTTAACCAGTGCTCTACTGAACACTGATAGAAGTCACAAAACTACTAACTACTGATGTCCTGGTAAAGGTATTTAGCAGTTTATATTTACTATAATAATTGCATTTCCATGTTGTGTGTACTGTGGGAGACCAGACATAGTGAATGCAGGGTTTGGTAACTCTTTACCGAAGGTTGTGCAATCAGACTGTAAGGTGAAGGGCCAGCTTTAGACAGCCAAAGGTCCTTCACAACCTGAAAAATACCAGATAGGGGTAACACTTCTAAGACCAAAAGAAGAGCATATGGAATACTCATTGGTTAGCCACAAGTCCTGAAGCTGAACCTCTTGCTGACAACATAATGCATATGTGTGGCAGGGCCTTAATGCCCACATGTGGCACATATGTCCATGGGGACTAAGGTTTATTTGCCGAGAGCATACTCACTGTATGCTCTAATGTAGTGACCAAGATGCCACAGGTACCATTCTCTATTTATAATCAGGAGCCTCTAGGACAGGCGCCTGATCACATGAACACTGTGATAGCCAATCACAGTCATCAACGGGATGGGGAAGTCTCATCTCCAAGCATAAAAAAAGGGCCGCTGGAATGCAACAGGAATGGTTAAATATAAAGAATATTATTCTGGTATATTTCCAGCATGACGATAATTCCTTGGTTGACTATTTCCATTTTCTTTGTCTGAAGTTTATTTGACATAATTGCATTATCCAAAGAATGTAAAATTTAAAGGTGTCAGTAAAAACACCCAATTTTGGGGGGTCATTGGCTCTTACAGAGTGCTCAACATTTCTTTCACTGCTATATTTATGGAAAGTAAATACCTGCTTGATCCTGTCATTTCACTCTCCCTCCCTATTCAGAGTGGCAACACTATTGAATTCAATGCTCCATCTTCAGCATTTCCACTCTCATTGGGCTACTTCAGTTTTCCCCTGGGCGTACTCTGCTCTAAGCCAAAGCATTAGAGGAAAGAACATTTCTTCAGCATACCTTTAGATGTGCATGTTCCACCCTGCTGGCCACTGACTGTCGCAGAAATTAGCTGTAAAATCCATTGCAAAAGTATGCCTAGTAAAGTTTAATCAGGCGACTGATCAGCAGATTGCACAGTTAAAGTCTGGGCATGCATGGCTAAGAGGATACAATTTCATATAATGCTTAGACTCAAAACTTCATCAAAACGCTGAACTATCAGTGCAAAGTTACATCACATGACCGCAGGATAAGAGATTTAAACAAACAAACAAAAAAGTACCAGAGCTTTGTGAAATTACGCAATTTATGTTCAGTTATTGTTGGGATCATATTTAACAATCTTTTGCAGTAGGTAATTCTAACTAGCTTACATGCACTTTCACAAGCAGTGCAGTAAAGAAAGAAGAAATGCAACTGAAAATGTATCTGTCATTAGCCAAGAGCTGCAAGTCCTTTGCATGAAACAAACAGCTAGTTTATAGAAATTGGTAAAGTGCCCTAGATTTAGCAAGATAGAAAGGTTAGTCAGGTGCTACACTGAAATGGTCATTTATTCACCTGGCCGGTAGGTGACCAGGCACTGCCGTGTGCTGCTCTCTATCTGGATATCAGTACATCCCCCGGACTCCAGGGGCAGCAAGTGTGGCGTGTACTTGGCATCCTTCATCTCCCAAAAGTACGCTCCTCTCAGGCTCCCCGCCAGCACTCCTCCGCAAGGGAAGACCTCCGAGGCAGCACGAGGCATGTAGGAGAGAGAAATCAATGGAGATCTGGAGGGAGACAAGACAGATTGAAGATTACAGGTAAGGCAGAACCTGCAAGTCTATACGCAAGATCATTTTCATGTCAAATTCTTTACCCCTCATGACGGAGGTGAAACAAATCCTAACACAGTGGCACAGATTTCCAATTTTGACAAGTGTAAGTAAATCTGTACATATCATCACAGCTACCTAAAGTATCCAGGTGGATTATACCATGTGTTTTCAGGACAAACTGGGATTTCATTTGATGGTAGAGTAATGGATATCTCCTGTTTTTTATTTTAGTTTTTTAAATCAAAAAAGAAAAAAAAAAAAAAAACTTGCATTAAATAGTAAAAACATTTTTAAAATGTAGCGGTACATTTCATATTATTACTATAACTTGCCTCCAAAGCACAATACCAAGAAGCAGGGAAACCCAAACTTCATAAGCATATAGATGCAGAGTTACTGTAAAAAGTAGAAAAAGATTACAGCATATACATCCACAAATAATATAAAAGTTCCCAAAAGTATTGCCAAAAGCATAGCAGCCAGCCAAATCCTCCTTGGGAAAGGGGTCATTTTGTACTCTGACATGTTGGGTCATAGGACGTCATTACACAGCTGACTGCTATGCTTTGGGTCACCGTTTGTGTTATTTGAAGATGTGTATACTGTAAGGATTCATGCACTAACTGCATTTATTCTACTGAAAATCATCCACTTTGTATACATCTTTGACTTGCACACACTATTTGCATTATTGAATTGAATTGAATTGTGTGTACTCTTCCTCCTTAGTATTGTTGTGTTAAGATATGGTGCATTACCATTCCCTGACTTAGCACTACATTGTGCCAATGGCAGCCTATCCTGTGCTGAATAGAGGCCTCCACTGTGTCAGGTAACAATGCATTCACTGAGCTGTAGCCCAGACTCAATTTTCTAGTTGCCAGCACATCTATGTTTGTAGAAACAGACTATTATGAAAATAGCTACATGGCCAACAGTCTATGTATTAGAATTTTTTTTACAAACATATTTGATATGCGACAGGTCCTCTTTAATATTGCCCGCAGGAGGGCTAATGGTAGAAAATAAACTACCTACCCAGCGCCCAGAACTATATGTTCCGGGCGTTGTGCGATAGGAATCCAACATCCCTGTGTTACTTTATTGCTGCAATACAGGTTCTTTTTAATGCACTCACCGAGGGCCTCGAGGGCTCAGTTGCTCCACGTATTTGCTCATGTTCCTCAGGTCATACACCAGCATCACACCACTAATCAGACCTGCATAAATATAGTTGAAGTCATCAGAGCACCAGCAGCAGCTCCATAACGGCTGCTCGGCATTGCAGGTCTGCACCACGGTGTTTGTCAGAAGGCTGCAAAAGGGACAGACAATGTCAGGAGGGTTTCGGCTCCCACTGTGCTCTTCTCAAACAATACATTCCCCACAATTCAGCCCAAACCCTTTATTATTTATTGTTAACAGTAGCCTTGTCAATCATGTCCAACAGCGATATACTAGCTACTCAGTCCCAGATCAAGGCTAAAAAATAAATGCATGTCAGTGAGGAAAATCTGCAACTATCTCTGGAACGAAGACAGAAGAGACTCCAATCTGCTGGGGCTGCCTTCCCACTTATATGCAGGAACATGCAGCACTCACCTAGTCAGTTTTACTGTGCAATCCATAGCAGCGGAGAGGAGAAGGCCATCAGAGCGCGAGTTGAAGGCTAGTCCACGGATCTGTTTGGAATGGATGGGAATGTATTGGGAGCTCTCCATATTGCCCACATCTAGCTTCTTCACACCACACCCTGGAAAAAGTCAGAAAATTTATAAAAGGGAGAAATATGGGAGGGAACTGGGAGATTTGCAGGGGAGTAATGAGAGAGAGAGCACGAGCTGGGAGGTTTACAGAACAACAATGAGAGAGAAAGTCAGATTTACAGGGGGGGGGGAGAGAGAGAGAGAGAGAAATGATAGCACCATGGACTTAAAGTGTATTTTAAGCAGCCCATTTTATTTGTCTACCTGCATTTCATTATTATCTATTATTTGGCTGTTACAAAGAAAATATGTATTACATTCATATAGAGAAGGCCCCTTCTAAGCGCAGTCTATTGAAAGAACAATTACCAAATGAGATAAAAACCAGTTAGTGACCGGAAAGTCTTTATAGAGAGAGGACCACTGGTGTGCAGTACTTAGCAGGAAGCAGAGGCTGCATATGTAATACATCAATATGGATGCCCCATTTATATATACACATTTCCAAATAGAAACCATAAGCATTCTCATTGACTATATATTTTGCATTGTTGCTTGGCTGAAAGCCCTCAACCCATTGCTTTCGCATCTTGGGGGAAAGTATGTGGCCTCCTCCCAAAATGTAATACAGTTGTATAGTGACAGATGACATGCACATCTACAGACTTTTTCCCTTTAAGGGGTCAATGACTTACCAGTGAGGACAACGGGGCGGCGGGAGGATTCTTGTGCCACCATGAGGCAGCCCAGCAACTCACTGTAGGCCATGACGTGGCAGCTCTCCGTCTGAATGATAGCCTTCTGAAAGTTGTACTTGTGCTGACTTGGAATGTAGTTGTGACTTGATCTGGTGCCATACTGGGCAATCAACATGTTTAGTTCCTTATAGAAAAAAAAAAAAGTCAGTTACACGGGCACCAGACAAGAGCGTGGGGGGGTTAGCAAGCAACACAGACAGTAGACAGAGCACGGGAGAGTGACAAAGAGAGAGCTAGGGGGGAGTGGCACGGGCACCAGACATGAGCAGGGGGACAGGCACCAGACATGAGCAGGAGGACAGACACCAGACATGAAATGGATGTCAGGTTACACCCATCACAGGAAAATCTAATGTACTTTAGGGTACACACAGCATTACAAAGAAGCAAGCAGTGCCTTATATATGTAATACGCCTTTCACTCCCCACACAGGCACATATATTATTGCAAACTATACATGGAAATAAAAGTTATGCTACTTCTGCAGCTAGTCTCGCAATTCAACTTCCTTAACCACCTCGCGCCCGCCATATAGTGTAATGACAGGTGCAAGGTGGTTCTCTTGCTCTGGGAGGACGTCATATGATGTCGTCCCATTCTAACAGTGCATGCACGGCTCCGGGAGCGTGCAGCGCGGCGATCGGTGGTGCTCTTTGTCCCTCGGACACAACGGATCACCGATCAACGAAAAGAGCCGAAGATGTCAGCTCAGTCATGTGATCAGCTGTGTCCAATCACAGCTGATCACATGTAAATAGGCCTCACACTGACAGCTCAAGAGGAGAGGAGATCCGGTAATCGGCATTCCTCGGAGGGGATATGTGCACTGATCATCAGGGCACTGATGATCAGTGTGCCCTGATGATCAGTATAGCCCCAGAAGTGCCACCTGCCAGTGCCCATCAATGCCACCTGCCAGTGCCCATCAATGCCACATATCAGTGCCTACCAGTGCACAGCAATGCCACATATCAGTGCCCATCTGAGCTGCCTTTCAGTGTCACCTATCAGTGCCACCTATCAATGCCAGTCAGTGCCACCTATCAGTGCTGCCAGTCAGTGCCGCATATCAGTGTGCATCAGTGCCATCTAACAATGACCATCAGTGCCACCTAACAGTGCCGCCAATCAGTGCCATATATGAGTGCTGCCTCTCAGTGCCAATCAGTAATGCCTGTCAATGCCCATCAGTGCCACCTACTAGTGCCTCCTCATCAGTGCCCATCAATGCCACCTATCGGTGCCCATCAGTGCAGCCTATCAGTGCCCATCAGTGCAGCCTCATTGTGCACATCAGTGAAGGAGAAAAATCACTTATTTACAAAATTTTATAACAAAAACTAAGAAAAAAACTTTTTTTTCAAAATGTTCAGTTGTTTTTGGTTTGTTTAGCAAAAAATAAAAAACCCAGAGGTGATTAAATAGCACCAAAAGAAAGCTCTATCTCAAAAAATGATAAAAATTTCATATGGGTACAGTGTTGCATGACAGCGCAATTGTCATTCAAAGTGCGACAGCGCTGAAAGCTGAAATTAGCCTGGGCAGGAAGGGGGTAGAAGTGCCCTGTAGGCAAATGGTTAAAGACTGACAGCTGCTAGTTAGCAAAATGAACAGATGTCTGAAAGTTACTGGTCTGTGAACTGTCATAAGTAAGCCTCTCAATAATTTTGACAAATGTTTCACCCGACCACAAATATGTGGGGCATTTCAGACATACAGGAAGTGATGGTTCCAAGTGTGTAAACTGATAAAATAAGTCTTCTAATATCTGCACAGTTTAAAGATGCAGTTTAATCTGCTTATATTTGTCCTTCCCTGGTCAACCCCCCCAACATGCGAATGATGATTTTAAATAAAAACCTTTTCATTTTATTACATATTTTATTTCATACTCATTGATGTTATCACTAGGCCTCTGTGTTTCTCTGTGCAATGCTAAAAAATCACAGCTGGTGGGAGGGGCCAGCGGGGTGCTGTACATAGCTTTCTGAAAACGTCATAGCACCCTGCCTCAGTACTCCTCTAAGCAGCAGTGAGCAGAGAACCCACACTTAGAGCTTCGGATCAAGACAAGTAAACACTACAGATAGCTGGGCTCTGTTCACATTCAATGACTGAGGTATACAACCACTTTAAGAAGAATACACAGGACCAACAGATTTGTTATCCCAAAATAAAATTTTAATATTCTAGGAAATTTTGTATCAGCTATTGATGCTCCTATTTTCGATCTTCGAGAAATACAATGTGAATAGGACCTGTTACAACTCATCTCAGAGGTTTTTGACGCACAATGGTCTCTCAGTCACCTGTTGGGCTGGGAATTCCCATGAAGTCTCAGGATCTGTATGAAATTCCGTTGGATCTACAGATCAAAAAGATAACAAGATCAATCAATGTGACAACCTGCAAAGACAGTTGGAGTTAACTGGAGATAACAGAGTCTGGACCTACTGAGGGATGAGAGACACCTTGGCAACATCTCCCAAGAGGCCACACCACCTTCCCAATGGGACATCCGATCATAAACAGGCCATCCTTTACATGCAGTATTCTGCAACATCACCAATGTGAAACACCTACTGCATTTCTACACGTGCTCGTCTGCCCTTTAAGCTTCCTTCCTGTCCAGGCCATTTTTCAGTGCTGTAATACTTTCACCAGCAATGACTTTGCCATACAACACTGTACCCAAACAAATTTGATAGCAAGGGGTGAAAGGTTAAACTTTATTTGTACCTGCTGCTGTGATTGGTACAGTGCTCAGGAACTAATGAATGATTCATTAATTCTCCTGTACTACAATGGAGGAAGGGGGCGGGCCCACAGATGTAAACAATACATGGTTTACATCTGTGATGACGATGATTGGTCCCCAAGGTCAGAGAATGGTTCATTTCATGGGCATTAATGGGTGGCATGGCTGCCCAACGGTGCTGTATCCAGTGCCATCCATAAATGGCACAGGTTAACAGCTTACGTGCCGCCCTATAGCAGAAATACTGCTACAGGGCGGCATGGATGCGCAATATATATATGTGATTGTGCATTTCCCTACCCTCGCTGCCATTGCTTCTTCAACTGTCAATCACCGGGTTCCAGCCGGAGATTCCCCACCGGCACCTGGCGATCACCGAGTATCACTGACGGGGGAGAGGTTTGTATGTAAACCATACAGATCTCTCCTCTGTCAGCTCTAGCACCCTGCTTTGTATTGCTCTGCATAGCAGACTCTTGAATATGATTAGGGCAGGATACTTCCTAATCCTTTGTGATTAAAATGCACCAGTAGGCCCAAGTCACACTGAATAATCCTGCTGTGTATGACCTGTTCTCCTTGTAATTTATAAAAGGGGTTTGTAAACTTGTAGCTTACACCAATGTACACTTGTTATACTATAGCTGCTACTGTCTGCTTGACTCCATGCACTTATATTTTTAATTATCTAAGTTTGTCCTGATCCTCGTTGGGATAATAGGAGCATAAAAAATAATAGTTCTATTTTGAGACATTTTTCAGAAAACCTCAGAAAATTCCACAGGGAGATTTGAACTCTCAACAAGTTAGGGAAATCCCCAGGCTGTTTGAAGGGCTGTAGCTAGAACAAGGAAGAATTAAAAGTTTGTTCTAACAAGTAGTGAAAGGCGACAGGGGTGGTACCTGTCAACCTAATCACTGGCCAGAGATTATCTCTGGGGAAAACCATCCAAGGTTGGGGAATTATTTCAGGGTCTGATATCCGTAAGAATGGATAACAGTATCACATCAAGGAGGGTGTCTAAGTGGTGATACCTACCAACTGACCTCAAAGGAAGAGATGATAGATAAATATGGACCCTGGGTGGCGAAATACAGTTTGGTCCATGTATATTTGAACACAGGCACAATTTTCATACTTTTGGCTCTGTATGCCACCAGAAAAAATTTAAAACAAAACAATCCAAGTGAAGTGAAGACTTTCAGCTTTAGTTCAAGGGGTTGAACATAAATATCAAGTACAAATTTTAGGAACTGCAGCCATTTTTATACACAGCCCCTCCATTTCAGGGGCTCAAATGTAATTAAAATGAACATTTTATTTATGATTATATTCATTTGTACATTTTGTTGAGAATCCTTTACTGGCAATGACTGCCTGAAGTCTAGAACCCATGGAGATTACCAAAGACTGGGTTTCCTCCTTTCTGATGTTGTGCCAGGCTCTAACTGCAGCTGTCTTCAGTTGTTCTTTGTTTGTGGGTCTTTCTACCTCTAGGTTTGCCTTCGGTAATTGAAATGCATGCTCAATTGGGTTGAGATCAGGTGATTGACTCGGCCATTGCAGAATATTCCACTTTTTTTCAAAAGCTCCTGGGTTGCTTTTGCAATTTGTTTTTGATCATTGTCCATCTGTTCTGTGAAGCACCGTCCAATCAACTTTGCTTCATTTGGCTGAATCTGGGCTGACAGTATATCTCTAAACACTGCAGAATTCATCCGGCTGCTTCTGTATTCCGTCACATCATCAATAGACTCCAGAGTATTATTAAGAGTGATCAGATGAATTGCAATGTCCCTCTTTGCCATGTCAATCAATAAAAAAAAAAAAAAAACAATTTCCACTGCATTTCAGCCCTGCCATATCATGTCAGTGATTCTCTCCTTAAACACAGGTGTCAATGTTGAGGAGGTCAAGGCTGGAGATCACTCTGTCATGCAGACTAAGTTAGGATAACAGATGTAACATTTAAAAGGAGGGTGGTGCTTGAATCATTGTTCTTCCTCTGTTAACCATGGTTACCCGCAAGGAAACCCGTGCAGTCATCATTGCTTTGCACAAAAATTGATTCATAGGCAAGGATTTTGCTGCTACTAAAACTGCACCTAAATCAACCATTTATCAGATCATCAAGAACTTCAAAGAGAGAGATTCAATTGCTGTGAAGAAGGCTTCAAGGCACCCAAGAAAGTCCAGCAAGTGCCAGTACCATCTTCTAAAGTTGATTCAGCTGTGGGATCGGAGCACCACCAATGCAGAGCTTGCTCAGGAATGTCAGCAGGCAGGTATGAGTGCATCTGCACGCACAGTGAGGTAAAGACTAATGGAGGATGGCCTGGTGTCAAGAAGGTAGCAAAGAAGCCACTTCTCTCCAAGAAAATCATCAGGGACAGACTAATTCTGCAAAAGGTACAGGGATTGGAATGCTTAGGACTGGGGTAAAGTAATTTTCTCTGATAATGCTCTTTCCGATTGTTTAGGGAATCCGGAAAAAAAACTTTGTCTGAAGAAGAAAATGTGAGCACTACCATCAGTCCTGTGTCATGCCAACAGTAAAACATCCTGAGACCATTTATGTGGTCGCTTCTAAGCCAAGGGAGTGGGCTCACTCACAATTTTTCCTGAGAACACAGCCATGAATAAAGGATGGTACAAAAACATCTTCCGAGAGCAACTTCTCCAAACCATCCATTAATAGTTTGGTGACAAAATGCCTTTTCCAGTATGATGGGCATCTTACCATAAGGCAAAAGTGATAACTAAGGTGCTTGGGGAACAAAGCATCGAAATGTTGGGTCCATGGCCAGGAAACTCCCCAGATCTTAATCCCATTGAGAACTTGTGATCAATCCTCAAGAGGCAGGTGAGCAAAAAAATCCCGCAAATTCTGACAAACTCCAAGCACTGATTATGCAAGAATGGGCTGCCATTAGTAAGGATGTGGCCAAGAAGTTGCTTTTTTTATATTTATCTTTTTTTCTTTTAACCACTTGCCCTCCTGAGGATTTACCCCCTTTTCTGACCAAGCCATATTTTGTTACAGCACTGCGTTACTTTAACTGACAATTGCGCAGTCCTGCAATGCTGCACCCAAATGAAATTGGTGTCCTTTTTTTTTCCCCACAAATTGAGCTTTATTTTGGTGGTATTTGATCACCTGTGCATTTTTTATTTTTAGCGCTAAAAAGAAAAAAAAAAAAAGACTGAATTTTGAGAAAAAAAACAACAGTATTTTGGACTTTTTGCTACTAAACATGTCCAGTAAAAAAAAAATAATAAAAAAATAATCAAATTTCGTCATAAATTTAGGCCAAAATGTATTTCTGCTACATGTCTTTGCTAAAAAAAAAAATCCCAATACGTGTAAATTAATCAGTAACTTATAGCGGGACTGCGGCAGGTATTCTGACACTGGGGGGAACTGACTTGGTGTCACCGACACTGTACTAATGGCACTGGGCAGGAAAGGGTTAACATGAGGGGCGATCAAAAGGTTAACTGTGTGCTGGGAGTGTTTTACATAGGGGGGCCGTATCAGTGTGCTTCACTGTAAGCACACTGCTTTGGCTGGCTGGCCAAAGCAGTGTGCCTGAGCTGATAGGGAGGAGAACTGTAAACAAAACAGTTCTTATCCCCGTTGGAGATTGTAGGAAATCATCGGGCGCTGGTGAGTAATTACTGTCCGGGACCCGGTGATTGACAGCCATTGCCGCGAATAGCGCTGCGGGTAGGGTGCATGCCGCCTACCCGGAAATGCAAAATCACGTATATATACACGTGATTTTGCGCACCCATGCCGCCCTGTAGCAGTATCTCTGCTATAGAGAGGACAGGAAGAGGTTAACAAATATTTTTTTTTTTTTCTCTATGCAAATCTCCATTCAGAGAGAAAAACAAAAAGGGGAGGGGGGGGCAGGTGTACAGTGACTGATCACTGTGATAGCCAATCAGAGGCTATCACAGCGATCATGTGACCCGGAACCGGGAGTCCCGTGTCCCGATCGTTAGAACGGAACCCGGGGCACTCAGTGAAACCCCAGTCTTTGTAATGGGAGTGCGCTGTGCAGCGCGCTCCCAGCACAAAGACAGGTACGCAAATATGCGGTCCCACGGAAAAAACTCCAGTTCTGTGAGGCCGCATATTTGTGTTACATCGGCGTGAAGGGGTTGCATAAAAGTTTTTTTGGTATGATCAGTCAAGTTCAATATAAGTGCCAGGGAATGCAAACTTTTGAGCACAACTGTATGAAAATATCATGCAATGCTTTCTGTAGCTCTGCAGGACAATATGGTTTCTAGGCCTTTTGTGTAAAGTTACTATAACTTGTACAATTAAAAGTGTGTATATTATATAAAACACTTTTAAATGAAAAAATATATAAATATATTTAACAAAAATAATAGCATACAATCAATTTTATAATTAATAAAATACAGATTATATAAACATGGTTTTATTTAAAAAAATACTGTTAAAATTATTTTAATAAAATTATTAGGTTGATCTCAACGAATATTAAAGCACTGTCTGCCTGCCCGCATTGTACTGTGACACAGCGGAATGCAGATCCCAGTAATTGGGACCTGGTGATCATGTGATCCATATGTGGTCACAGTATTAGCAAAGGTGTTATGAAGCAATCTGATTCAGAACAGCTTTGCTTCTCTTCCTGCTGAGCTGTGATTGGCCCACAACTCTCACATGGTACATGGGCCAATCACAGCACCCTATAGCATGTGATCATCTGAAGCCAATCACAGATCACTGTATGTTGAACTGTCAGGAACTTAAGCCATTCACAACAGTTCAAAGCAAGCATTGCATAAGCAATAATCTTTACAGCTTAATGCAGAGTGTAAAATCGCTGAACAAATACGGTGTGACATAAAAATTGCAACGCCGACTGTTTTATTCTCTAGGGTATCTGCTTTAAAAAAATATATAATGCTCAAAGTAATTTTCTAGCAAAAACATGTAAACAAAAAAAGTGTCTCAAAAGGCTTGGTCTTCAAGTGGTTAGAAAAGTGGGTGATGTGTGGCATAAGCTTCTAATGTTGGCCCTGAACTGCCAGGATAGTAGAAGCACTCCCCCAAATGACTCCTTTTTGGAAAGTATACACTGCAAGGTATTTGGCATCTCTCATTTGTTGCCACAAGTTTTTAGAAAATGAAGAAAAAAAACAAAAAAAAAACCAAACCACAAATGTATTTTTTCTTTTCTTTTTCAAAACCCGTGACAAAAAATATCTGTAAAATTCTCACCGTGCCTCTTATCAAATTCCTTGGGATGTCTAGGAGGGGTTTGTAATATCCTGGCATTTTAGCACCTCTGAAACCATGATAGGTAGCAAGGAAGTCACAGTAAATATGCCCTTTGAAAGCCTGAAGGTGGTCATTGGATTTTGGGGCCTGTATAAGGCTAGGCTGTCAAAAAGTCTCTCACATGTGGTATCCCCATACTCCATAGAAGTAGCAGAATGTGTGAGCAATATGTCATCTAAAAGAATAAGGTGTGTAAAAAAAAATAAAAAATTGTGGCAAAAAATAAAACTTTCCATGGACTCAACATGCCTCTCAGCAAATTACTTGGGGTGTCTACTTTCCAAAAAGGGGTCATTTGGGGGGCTGTACTACCCTGGCATTTTAGCACCTAAAGAAATGTGGCAGACAGAAAGTAAAAGCTGTGTAAATTCCAATATATATCCACCATAGTTTATAGACGTTATAACTTACAAACAAACCAATTAATGTACAAGTATTGGGATTTTTTTTATTTTTACCAATGACATGTAGCAGAATACATTTTGACCTAAATTTATGACTAAATTTGAGTTTATTGGATATTTTTTTATAACAGAAAGTAGAAAATATTGTTTTTCCAAATGGTTTTTTTTTTCGTTTAGATCACAAAAAATAAAAAATTGGTGATCGTATACCACCAAAAGAAAGCTTTATTTGTGTGAAAAAAAGGACATAAATTTAGTTTGAGCTTCTGGAGCTGAAGTGGTTAAATAAGTTACCACCTTCCAGCCACGCTATAGTTGATATACGGTTACAGCATGGCTCTCCGATTCTGGGAGGGCTTTCCTGGATGTCCTCCCATGCAACCCCCTGGAGCAAGCATCAGGAGCTCTCTGTGACCGCTGTGTCCCTCGCGTATGCAAACTTTTGAGCACAGCTTTAACTCTATATTAGCACTGCTTTTATTATTTAACAATCTTCTTATAAGGGATGCAGAAAGGCTTGATTAAGATATAAACAAAAGGTGAAATTCACTCAGATTTCTCATCAAGAGTAAGCGAGGTTGGATTTCAGCCAAAAAGGGGCGATCTGCTCAGACATACCTGGCTCTGCACACTGGGCATATGTGACATCCTCATCATCGGTGGAGCTGTCCCCTTCTTCAGTTCCTATCAACACCGGATCATCAGAACCGTCATTTACAGGCTCATTGTAGAAGTTCACGAGTCCATTTTGAGAGCTGAAAAACACAGAACATGAAAAATCTTAAACTGCCAGCCAGAGTGGTGAACTACAGAAGACATTCAGCACCTTCTCACCTGGTACCCAATATGCATTGGGATCCCCCCCCCCCCCCCCCCATGCTGCCTCCTGGTGTTTGATGCGATGATGATTTCACTCTCAGCGGCCTGCTGAAATTGTGCTAGCGCCTGTCACAGCCTCTGTAGTGCATTAGAGGTATGCAACTTAACAGGTAGCAGCTTGTGCGCCAACAGGTCCTTACCCCCATTAAGCACGAGCCCGGGGCCGGCCCCAGCACAAGGTAGCTTGCCTTAGGGTGCCTGGATGGGGGGTAAAATGCACCTTCTCTTGGTGCACCATGTTCCAGACTCTTTCACCCCTTCCATTCCCCCCATTCCTGGTTCTGCTCACTTCTTCCTTTCCCCACTCATCCCCAGTGTTCTGTCCTCTCTCTCCCCCCACACCTCCACCATCCCCTCCCTCAGCCAAAACATCCTGCACTGTCGGAGGCTCGGTGCTGTTGTCTCTCACTGTCTAAGTGCTGGCTGGGGATCAGAGTGCTCCCCCGTCAGGACTCCACTCCTCACATCCAGGGTTGCCAACCCTCAATGACTTATTTTAACTGACAAAACATGAAAATTTACTGACAGAGCACATTTTTTACTGATAACCTGACAAAATTATAGGACTCTATTAGAAACTAAGACGATCGATATTTAACCACTTGTCTCCCACCATTTACTAAATATACGGCCTCAGGGTGATTCTCTAGGGTATCACTGGACATCTTCCCACGTGCACACCCCCTCGGGGCACACATTGGGAACTCTCTGTGACCGCTGTGTACCTTGGACACAGAGCATCAGGGTTGGGGTTAAACGGCTAATCACAGTGACCCTTCACCAAGTGATTGCTATGTCCAGTCACAAGCGATCACAGATGTAAACACAGCAGGTCCTTGCCGAGAAACAGCTCTCCTTCCCCAACACAGAGACCGCATGTGAGGGAAGGAGAGGTGAATCTCTGAGGGTGGGAGCAGTGAGTGTTGACTTCAAAGTGCTTTTACAGTGCCCTGATCATCCGTGCCGCCTCAGTGCCCTGATCAGTGCCGCCTCACCAGTGCCCTGATCATCCGTGCCGCCTCACCAGTGCCCTGATCATCCGTGCCGCCTCACCAGTGCCCTGATCATCCGTGCCGCCTCACCAGTGCCCTGATCATCCGTGCCGCCTCACCAGTGCCCTGATCATCCGTGCCGCCTCACCAGTGCCCTGATCCGTGCCGCCTCACCAGTGCCCTGATCATCCGTGCAGCCTCACCAGTGCCCTGATCATCCGTGCCGCCTCACCAGTGCCCTGATCATCCGTGCCGCAGTGCCCTGATCATTCACCAGTGCCCTGATCATCCGTGCCGCTTCACCAGTGCCCTGATCATCCGTGCCGCCTCACCGTGCAGCTTCACGCCTTCACCAGTGCCCTGATCATCCGTGCAGCTTCACCAGTGCCCTGATCATCCGTGCAGCTTCACCAGTGCCCTGATCATCCGTGCAGCTTCACCAGCCCTGATCATCCGTGCAGCTTCACCAGTGCCCTGATCATCCGTGCAGCTTCACCAGTGCCCGATCATCCGTGCAGCTTCACCAGTGCCCTGATCATCCGTGCGCTTCACCAGTGCCCTGATCATCCGTGCAGCTTCACCAGTGCCCTGATCATCCGTGCAGCTTCACCAGTGCCCTGATCATCCGTGCAGCTTCACCAGTGCCCTGATCATCCGTGCAGCTTCACCAGTGCCCTGATCATCCGTGCAGCTTCACCAGTGCCCTGATCATCCGTGCAGCTTCATCAGTGCCTGATGATGATCATCATCAGTGCTGATCATTGCAGCTTCATCAGTGCCCTGATCATCCGTGATGCCCTGATCATCCGTCAGCTTCATCAGTGCCCTGATCATCCGTGCAGCTTCATCAGTGCAGCTTCAGCTTCAGTGCCCTGATCATCCGTGCATTCATCAGTGCAGCTTCATCAGTGCCCTGATCATCCACATGTCAATATGATAGGAAGTCAGGAAATTGTGTAATATATGCCCCTGGAAAGCCTAAAGTTGATCCTTCAATGCTTTGCCTCGGCTGTAAAAAAGTCTTACACATGTGGTATCACTAGACCCAAGAGGAGGAGCAGAATGTATTTTGGGGTGTAATTCTTGGAATGTCCATGCTGTGGGTTAGAAATATCTTATAAATTGACAACTTTGTGTACAATTTTTCCAAAAACTTGCAACAGAAAAAAAAAAAAAAAGCAAACAAACATGTTCAAAAGACTCATTATGCTTCACAGAACATACGTTGGGGTGCTTGCTTTCCAAAATGTTTCCATTGCCCTGGTGCTCCAGAGCCTTCAAAAATGTGATCGGTAGTCAGGAAATTAGATGTGTAATTTATGCTCCTTGAAAGCCCAAGAGTGCATCTTGGAATTTGGGCCCCTCTAAGTGACTAGGCTGTGAAAAAATCTCACATCTTGTATCCCCTTACTCGGGAGGATTACCACATGTGTTTTGGGGTGCAACTACAAATATGCCCATATCATGTGTGAGAAATAATGTGACAATTTAGTGAGAGAAAAAAAACGAAACACAAATTGTATTTAAAGCATAAAGTCACCTTTGGCAACATGTTACAGGTTCAACCCATTTTTAAGGTGGAACATACAACATGCTCCTGCAGCGACTTGGCAATCAGAGCCCTCTGTGTGATAGCAGTAGATAGGAGAAGTTCCCCGTACCAGCTGACACTTTTGGAAAACAGCGTGGACAAGTGGGGCTCTGCCACACAGCTGCACCATTTATTCACAGAGTTCTGTGAATGAATCAACTACAAGTACCATCATTCTTTGCGGATGTCGGCTTTTAGTTCTCAAAGAACTACCATGGAGCTGGTTAGCGCTGTGGTAGTCGATTCTTCCTGTCAGCGTGAAACTACCTGACTGTACGATGTTCGGGCACACAGCTCACACTGAGTCTGCAGGATTCCTTCAGGAGCCATTGTACACGAATCATTGTACACGAATCATTGTACACGAATCATTGTACACGAGAGTATTGCCTCCTGAATGCCTTCAAACTGCTTCTGCAAAGCAATCCTCCATGAACCTTTTTATAAAAGGGGTGGTAGGGACTGCAGTGTGAGTGATAGAGACTTCAAGGTGACACTTCAAACCACAAAGGTCTTGTTCTGACTGTCATACCCTCTATTTACAAGCTGGCCGCCACGCCACGGGACACGGCCACAGGCTGGACGCCGCGCCACGGGTCACGGCCACAGGCTGGACGCCGCGCCACGGGTCACGGCCACAGGCTGGACGCCGCGCCACGGGTCACGGCCACAGGCTGGACGCCGCGCCACGGGACACGGCCACAGGCTGGACGCCGCGCCACGGGACACGGCCACAGGCTGGACGCCGCACCACGGCATGCTACGGGACACCGCCACTGCCTGACGGCACGCCACCACTGCCTGACGGCACGCCACACCGCCTGACGGCAACGCCACGGGACACCGCCACGGGCTGACGGCACGCCACGGGACACCGCCACGGGCTGACGGCACGCCACGGGACACCGCCACGGGCTGACGGCACGCCACGGGACACCGCCACGGGCTGACGGCACGCCACGGGACACCGCCACGGGCTGACGGCACGCCACGGGACACCGCCACGGGCTGACGGCACGCCACGGGACACCGCCACGGGCTGACGGCACGCCACGGGACACCGCCACGGGCTGACGGCACGCCACGGGACACCGCCACGCCACGGGACACCGACACGGGACGCCACAGGCTGACCGCCACGCTACGGGACATGGCCACAGGCTGACGGCACGCCACGGGACACCGCCACAGGCTGACGGCACGCCACGGGACACCGCCACAGGCTGACGGCACACAGTCCTAAGTCATGACATGGGGGCCTGCAGCTGGTCCAGGAGCTGTCCTCCCCCTGGGCAATAACAAGTACATACACCAGGGAGCCTCACCTTTGGGGTCTGGCCGCCATCTTGAGTTCTGTCCGGGAAGCAGGGACACGCAGCACCCTACAGTCCAGTCCGGAAAGTGGCAAAGCTCCAGCACCCTCCCGGCGATCGCGGACACACACCAGCGGCTCCGGCTCTCTCCCCGTCTGCCCCGAGACCTCTCAGCTAGCCCCTAGAACACCGCTGACACTTGGCGGGTGTGAGAGGAGCAGTTGTAAGAAGCCAATGGCTGCGGTACCACCGAGGAGACAAAGCGACCCGAATAGAATTCCGCCAAATTCGTAACTGCGCATGCGCAGTTTCATGACCTACCACCCGCAGCCATTTCCGGTGTAGCAAATTCGGCCTCCAATGACAATCCTCAACCCTGCTGCAAGTGCGCATGCTCACACAGTGAAACAAGCCGAGCGCCGAGCTCGAGCCGAAGAGTTCACTGAAAACAGTTATCTCCGTGCATGCCGAGTGCAGAGGATTTGTTTCACAATGTTTTTATGGAAAAAGAGAATTTAGTTCTGAATTAGGCTCCATGCACACTGGACAGTTAAACCACTTGCCCTCCAGAGGATTTCCCCCCTTTGTGACCAGGCCATTTTTTGTGATACGGCGCAGCATTACTTTAACTGACAATTGCGCGGTCATGCATCGCTGCACCCAAATTAAATTTATGTCCTTTTTCACACAAATATAGCATTCACCTGTGCATTTCTATTTTTTGCACTATAAACAAAAAGGAAGGCTGACAATTTTGAAAAAAAAACCCTATATTTTTTACTTTTTGCTATAAAACATATCCAATAAAAAAAAAATTAAATTTCATTATAAATTTAGGCCACAATGTATTCTGCTACATGTCTTTGCTAAAAAAAAAATCCCAATACATGTAAATTAATTGGTTTACCGTATTTGCCGGCGTATAAGACGACTTTTTGACCCTTGAAAATCTTCTCAAAAGTCGGGGGTCGTCTTATACGCC